AGATATACACATGTAACCATAAGTGGGCGTGGCTACGCCCATTTTCCAAAAATTTATAATATTCTTATTTCTCGTCTAAAAATTGTTTTAAATATCAATTTTTAGTGAATAATCTTCAGTAGCTACTAAAATATCGGACTTTTGGTATTCCCGAAAATTACCCTTATATGGGATGTGGGCGTGGTTATTGTCCGATTTATAAAATTTTCGACCAGTTAGTGTGCTGTACAAAGGCCAACAACTGTGCCAAGTTTTGAAGAAATTGGTGCAGCGGTTACCAAGATATACACATGTTACCATAAGTGGGCGTGGCTACGCCTATTTTCCAAAATCTTATAATATTCTTAATTTTCGTCTTAAAGTTATTGTAAATATCAATTTTAAGTGAATTAACTTTAGTAGTTACTAAAATATCGCAGATTTCGTATTTTTGGAAATTACCGTTATATGGGAAGTGGGCGTGGTTACAGTCGAATTTCGCCCATTTTCAATACCGACCTACCTTGGATTAACAGAAACCTACGTACCAAATTTCGTTGAGATATCTCAATTTTTGCTCGAGTTATCGTGTACACGGACGGACGGACAGACAGACATGGCTTAATCGATTTCTCTATTCATTCTGAGCATTTATGTTTACATTTGTCTATATCTATCTCGATTCGTTTTGGCTGTTACAAGCAACCGTTATGTGAACAAAATTANCATTTGTCTATATCTCTCTCGATTCGTTTTGGCTGTTACAAGCAACCGTTATGTGAACAAAATTAATATACCCTTGTGCACAAGTGCGCTCGGGTATACAAATACCACCATAAGTACATGAATTATGTAAAACTACAAAGACAAATTTATAATCAGAGGAATTGTGTCTTATACACTGAAAAAAGGTAATAACAACTTTGAAAAAAGCAGAATCGCTACAAAAAAAATGGTGTGAAAAACCGAATAAATTCAAATCCGCATAAAAAGATACCTAAGTGTATAAACATATGTATTAGCGTGGGCCGAAAATCCCCTATTTTAGAATTTTGATTGGTAATAGCAAAAATATGGTTCATTGTGCTCTAAAAACAATCTGTGTGAAAGATGACAATTTTTGGTCAATGTCTTAGGCTCGCCCAAGCCCACCAAAGTTCAATGCGATCAAAAAATAAAATGCAATAAATACATTGATTAATACATTTTTTTACTTAAATTGCAATTATTTTCGAAAGTATTAGTCCTTCATAATTTGGTATATGGATCTTTTTTGAGGAGAATTGAAGTAAGCTAAGAAAAAAAATTTGCACTTGAACTTTGATAGACTTGGGCGAGCCTAAGACATTGACTAAAAATGTTCATCTTTCACTCAGATTGTTTTTAGAGTATAGTGAACCATATTTTTGCTATTACCAATCAAAATTATAAAAAAGCGGATTTTCGGCCCACGCTAATATGTATNGAATTTCGCCCATTTTCAATACCGACCTACCTTGGATTAACAGAAACCTACGTACCAAATTTCGTTGAGATATCTCAATTTTTGCTCGAGTTATCGTGTACACGGACGGACGGACAGACAGACATGGCTTAATCGATTTCTCTATTCATTCTGAGCATTTATGTTTACATTTGTCTATATCTATCTCGATTCGTTTTGGCTGTTACAAGCAACCGTTATGTGAACAAAATTAATATACCCTTGTGCACAAGTGCGCTCGGGTATACAAATACCACCATAAGTACATGAATTATGTAAAACTACAAAGACAAATTTATAATCAGAGGAATTGTGTCTTATACACTGAAAAAAGGTAATAACAACTTTGAAAAAAGCAGAATCGCTACAAAAAAAATGGTGTGAAAAACCGAATAAATTCAAATCCGCATAAAAAGATACCTAAGTGTATAAACATATGTATTAGCGTGGGCCGAAAATCCCCTATTTTAGAATTTTGATTGGTAATAGCAAAAATATGGTTCATTGTGCTCTAAAAACAATCTGTGTGAAAGATGACAATTTTTGGTCAATGTCTTAGGCTCGCCCAAGCCCACCAAAGTTCAATGCGATCAAAAAATAAAATGCAATAAATACATTGATTAATACATTTTTTTACTTAAATTGCAATTATTTTCGAAAGTATTAGTCCTTCATAATTTGGTATATGGATCTTTTTTGAGGAGAATTGAAGTAAGCTAAGAAAAAAAATTTGCACTTGAACTTTGATAGACTTGGGCGAGCCTAAGACATTGACTAAAAATGTTCATCTTTCACTCAGATTGTTTTTAGAGTATAGTGAACCATATTTTTGCTATTACCAATCAAAATTATAAAAAAGCGGATTTTCGGCCCACGCTAATATGTATGTTTTATAGTTGTCACGTATTCAATAGGTCAACACAAAAATAATAGCAGTTGTCAGCTTTACAGCTTTTAAATTGCCTTCCGCATACCTAAACGTGGCAATTGCTTAATGACAATAGCTATAACGGCGAGTGTTGTCATTGCACGTGAATAGGAATGTAAAACTCGTAAATTAAACCACAGTCGAACCTCTTATTATTTGGATTTCGGCTACCAAGTTATTGTTAGCATTTAATAGTAAAGTTGGGGGTATATTGAGTCAGGGTTAGGAACTTTACACAGGGATTCAAAGATCTTCTAAAATTAATACATGTATATGTGTGTACCTATATTTGAGGCCATGAGAGTAGAAGTGCCCTAACCCACATTTTATTTCTTTTGTACTTAACTCCTTCAAATGGTTTGGAATGTGGCAAATGTTAAATTAAAAGTCCCCTATTTCTTTAATTTAAATTAAAATTAAATATAATAATAGATTTGCGCTTACACAATATGTTAGTGTTTGGCCGAGCTTATCCTCCCATTTGTGGCGTGTGACTTAATGTTGTCACACAATTACATTACTAAGTTGTTTAAATAGTTAAGTTAAAAAAAATGGGATTAGGGGACTTCTGTTCTCACGGCCCCATATATTCGTCGATTTCATGATGAACAGTTCCAGGTTGTAGACTAACCACTTACAGCTTATGACTTTTTGAAAACTCTAAAAAAGTTTAAAAAATAAAAATCGGAGATACTTATTTACGATGCAGGCATGTAGGTATAAATGTCAGCAATTTACAAATAAAGGAAGGTATAATAGCACTGAAATGAGTCATAACAAATGCGGTTCAAATCTCTAGCTTGCTCTGCATGTTAAATATTAATATTTGAATGATGAAACATAGCGATTTGAGAGTATGTGAAAAAATATCTAGGAGATTATGTAAATGCATGTGGTTTTCTATATGAAACTTGAACTATTTTAAAATTAAAATTAATTGTTGTAACTGTTTTATTATTTTTTGAATAGTTTACTGTTATTTTGTTGATGTTATTATTATTATTTTTTAATTGTATTTAATATTAATTTATTAAAAACCTTGTATCTTCGTTAGCATTAGCTGAACGCCTTGGTAGCTTTGGTATATAGAAATTGATCTGATCTTTTTTGCCCCCAAGTAGTGCCGCCGGATTAAGGGCTGCGGTATTTAAAGCCTGAGCCGCGTTATTTAGTGTTGCTGGATTTAAAGCTGCATTAATCCTAGTGGACGCGACGCGCCGTATTTGTTGTCAATTATTTCACACAATTCAACGAGTTGGAGAAATATTGGTGTCGTTTGTTAATTTTTGTATGAAAGGACAAATACATATACAAAATAAGTCATAATTAAATATTAAAAGAAAAGAGAAATAGGGAGAGAAGAAGAGAAAACACATTAGGAAAATAGTGATAAAATGGAAATTTAAAGGAAAGTTTATTGAATTCATTTTTTCTGTGTTTTTGAAAACACCACAGATATAATTTGTAAATATAATCATAAATAGAAAAAAACGGCGGGCATAAATGTGCCGAGCAGCATAATTGGAACTGAGTAATCAGAAGGCATATGCTGTTGTATGCAAAAAAAAAGTGTAAATATGCACATACATACATATGGGCCAAAACACGTCAAGTGTATCTATCTAAGGCGTTATATGTCCGCTTTTGATAAAATTTGGTGTAATTATCATAGGTATGTACATACAGTCCGGTTCACTTGAATAGGTACACATATTTTCCTCAAGATCCAAGCTTATATATGGACGTGTGGGCATCAGAGAAGTTTATTTTTGACCTCATTCTGAATAATGCTTAATTTCAAAGAAAAGTGGTGAAAATGAAGAAAACACCTTGATTACTTTGGATTTTGTTCCACTTTTTTATCAAAGTACACGAAAATTATGCTTATTATTGTGATTCACTTGTATAGGCAAAAGCATGCGTAGCCTCCTTATGTGTATAGCAAAGTTATTAAAATTGCACTTAAAACCTTTTTAAGAATTTAAAAAATAATTGGAACAATAGCAGAGCAAGAATGGGTGAGCAGGCGCACTTTAAACTGCGAAAAATTCATAAATGGAGGGCTTCACGGATCCATGACTTTGCAGGCGATATGTTGGAAATAAAACTGAAGGAAATGGAAATGTCTCTGACAGCTGAAGCCGGCTCACAGCATCGCATGAAAAAAGCATGAAATGTAGCCAGAACACAAAAGCTAGACGGAAATAACAAAAGTCCTTTACGAGGTCAGTATCTTATTGTCGAGATAGTGGACCAAAATCAAAGAAAAACGTTGGTGTTGATAACACCACAAGGGAACTACAGATTACTCTATACACTTGTGTTCAGAACTTGTCAAAAAAGGGCATACATTTTACTATAAAACGTTAAGAATCATGATTGGAATTTTGTACAAGTCGCAAGCCTAAAAGGACAACTAGAAAATTGTTGTTTTCTCTGGCGAAAAATTTTATTTTGATGGCTACAACGGATTTAGCAATAATTGTCACGATTTCTGAAAGAACGAACGTTGTTTGTTTCTCCTCCATGATAAAGAAGAGAGTTCGGTGGTCTGAACTGCAATTTCTAGTCCAGAACAGTTGAGATAATATTTCAAGTTTCTAAAATTACGAATAATTCATGCAAAAATGTATAAAGGACATATTTTTAACATTTATCGCATATTTTCGCGCCTTGTTCTTGAATATTCTGGCAAAATTACGCAACGATTCGCACTACAGGAGCTGTAAAAAGCTTAATCGAAAATATTTGGAATTGGATGTTTTGCAATGTTTGCGTGTCAGACAACCCATGTGATGTTTGGCACTTGTTCTTCCCGGCGACTAAAGTGGTAAGCAGCGAGCTGTCCTTGATTTTTCAAAGCGCCTCTACAATTGTCTTTCGGATAGGGGTTTTTCCCATACATTGGAATTAAGGATGTAGTATCTACCCTGCAAAAACCGCGACTACTCCATGCATGCGTGTAAAGAGTACTCCCTAAGGACCAAGGAATACTCCAAAATTAACCACAATTCATATAAAAATAATATAATTCATATACTCCATCCCTGCATTACATCAGAGTAGCACAAAACTACTCCAACATATTAACAATGGTATTTTTGTTATATTTTTTCGTTTGTACACGCTTTTGTTCTTCACTTCTCAGATGCTTTTCCGAAATTAATACCAAGACAAAAATTAAAAATTACATGTTGCCTCTGACGGCATTCGAACACGAACATGCTGGGAGCTCACAACTAACAGCTAGCATCTCTACACGTTCAGCTACAGCCAGACATGCAAATGTGGTTTCAAATGCTCAACTTCAATCACATTTCGTTAAAACACGAGCAGTTATCGGGTAACAAACAATAAGCTGGCGCAGAGACACGCGTTGGTCCGCTACAGCATCACAGAGGAACACTTTTGTAAGTACTCCAATATAAATAGACTACATGGTCCAACGATTTTTGCAGGGTAATACTTAAAGTGTTATATAGTAGAATTAAAATGAATGGTATGCTTTTGCTGGTTCAAGCTAGTTCCTTGTGTTAAAGTCACTGTGCCTATTCAAGTGAATCAAAATAAGTGATAATAAGTGGAATAAAATCCAAAGTAATCTAGGTATTTTCTTTATTTTCACCACGTTCCTTCGAAATTAATCATTCTTCAAAATGAGGTCAAAAAGATATAAACTTCGATTTTTAGGAAAATATGTGTACCTATTCAAGTGAACCGGGCAGTATATATGTACATACATACATACATAACATACATACTAAGCTCCTGCGCAATTCCATTTAAACGGCCTAACAACAAGAATGATAGAATAAAAATCTATGTTTCTTGCACGACGGTCGATTTCTTCTGGCTTGATTGAAGGTGCTGCCACATATTTTGTTGTCGCTTATGATTGTGCCATGATTTTATTTAAATTTTTGTGAAGTTGCTTACCACGCTTATGATTGCTATAAATTTTGCTTCCATTTTTTTAAGATTTTATAATTTGGTGTCTTCAAACTAAAAACAAAAGCACCAAAAACGCACCAAGCACCAAACTCAAAAATGTTCGCGTTTTGAATACCCACTAAATTTGGTGCGAAAAGCATTAAGTTGGCAACAGTGAATGTAAACAAAAGTATTTTATGACGTCAGCGATTGGGTGGATGCTGGCAAATCGACGATGAGAGGGTTAGCGGTCCGCGAATGGCGCGACCTTTATTTTCTGGATCGTGGCCTAACAAGACATCCGATAGCCGCGCAAATACTTTCCCTCCTTTACTCTCATCGTTCGGGTCAAGTGTGAGTAAGCATAAACCAGTTTCTGCAAGCGTACGTAACCTACCGATCAATAGCAAGAGGCGTAGAGTATTTACTTTGCCTTCCGCAACTACTGCGAGTAAAAGGTATTTGACAGTAGAGTACTCTACTGGTAGTACTTGAGTATTTTCGAAGAAAACATACATTTGTGGTATCTGAATAAGGACAGGAATGTAGTGGAGCGATGAAGAGAGCGACGAGCAAAACGTACTTTCAACTAAAATATATACGTATATGTATATGTATATGATATACATCAGTCGACACCTTGCAATCATTGAGAGCAGTCGTGTATACTATCTTCGCTTTTCGTCACATAAAATAGTGCCACGTGACTACCTATATATCTATTCGCGAGTGACATCTAAGTAACATCGCGTATTTATAAACAATGGCCTCCAATTCCGGAGGAAACTACTTTGCGTCGCTTGACCCAGACCCTGATCCTGACATCGCAATCATTGCAAAAAGAAAAAGAAACACTAATTATGACTTGAACAATAAATACGACTTCCCAACCATTACGCATACAAATACAATTCAAGTGAACAAAAACTACTGCCCGAAATATGTACTAATAAAGAGTAAAATAGAAAACAAGCCACTCCAAAGCTTTAACATTTTTCTGGTGTCTAAAGCAATTGAAAGTATAAGCAGTGAGAAACCAATTAACATTCCATTTACACGCGACGGAGATCTACTAATCTTAACGAAAAATGCTTCACAAACCAATCGTTTTTTAAAAGCCACAAATTTGTCGAACATATGTCCAATTAGTTCAATGTGGCACCCAACACTCAACACAATAAAAGGTGTAATTTTTGCTCCTCCACTAAAGAACCTCTCAACAGAAGAAATCGTCGAAGGCCTTCGAGACCAATCTTTACGATTTGCCAAAAGAAATAAAAATTGGATTTCTTAACTTCAAAATCGACCCTTACATTCCCTCGCCCATACAATGTAAAAAATGCTTTAAACTTGGACACACGCAAAAATATTGCAAAAATGAACAGAAATGCGAAGTATGCGCCGGAAGCCTACACGACCCTACTCCATGTGAAAAAATACAATGTGTTAATTGTCAACATGAACATAACGCTCTTCATAAGGAACGTCCCAGTGTCAAAAAAAGGCGCGAAATTGTTAAAGTAAAAATTATTAGGAAATGCACATATACTGAGGCAACTAAAATCATAAACGAACAAAATAATACGACTGTCAATATCCCAAAAGAGAATCTAAAGGAAGCAATAGAAAAAAGAAATAAACGAATTGAACTAATAAGGAAATACAAAACACAAGAAGCAATTAAAAAACTATCCACAACAACAACACAAACAAATTCATTGCTACAAAAATCAAACAAACAAATACAAATAAACAAAATAAATAAGAACCCACCTACTACAAATATCTTTAACTTCCCCAACCCGAACCCCATTCCTGCACCAAATCACTCTCATACTTTGCCAAGCCCCGTCGACGATGAAGAAACGATGATAGAAAACTAATCCCTTTTTCTCTTTCCGATATACTGGATATATCGGTATAAGAGTCAGCATATGTAATAAATAGGTTATGGTTGTACGTATTCTCCAATGGAATATGAATGGTTACCAAAATAATTTACATGAACTCCAGCTATTAATTCATCGCAATAATCCAGATATCATCGCTATTCCGGAAATCCACCTTAAATCCGCCTCAATCAACTTGAACAACTATAAAAAAATTTTAATTAACACTAATTCAACACTCGCAAAAGGGGGAACTGGAATATTTATCAAGAAAACGATACAACACACCTTTTTCACCCCGCCAACAAACCTTTGCGCGGCGGGTGTCACGTTTTGCACTGAAACCAAAATTTCATTAATGTCTGTATATATTTCTCCAAC